ATATATATATATATATATATATATTGACTTGTAGGAATGGCATATTTTTTTTTCCAGGGCTGCTTTGGATTCCCAGGGATTCCCAGTTTGGCTCTGCCAGCGAGTGCACTTTACCATTGAATCATTTGTAGATGTAGATCCCTGTTACACGCGTCTGGGAGCTGCTGTTGACAGGTACTAGTAGTCTAGAGATTGGGACATGGGGTATATGCTCAGCTATCTGTATAATACAGATCTGTGTGTATATAATATCCCGGGACAGTCAGTGCTCCCTGTATCGTGCTGCTCTCTGTATAATATAGGCCTGTGCCTGTATAATATCCCAGGACAGTCAGTGCTCCCTATATAGTGCTGCTCTCTGTATAATACAGGCCTGTGCCTGTATTATATCCCGGGACAGTCAGTGCTCCCTATATAGTGCTGCTCTCTGTATAATACAGGCCTGTGCCTGTATTATATCCCGGGACAGTCAGTGCTCCCTGTATAGTGCTGCTCTCTGTATAATACAGGCCTGTGCCTGTATAATATCCCGGGACAGTCAGTGCTCCCTGTATAGTGCTGCTCTCTGTCTTGGGATATTATACACACAGCCATGTATTATACAGAGAGCAGCACTATACAGGGAGCACTGACTGTCCCAATTTATTATACACACAACCCTGTATTATACAGAGAGCACTGACTGTCCAGGGATATTATACCCAGACAGTAATTGATAGCTGTGCTGCAAAATTTCCTTGGTAATTTTTTTTTCAAATGTTGGCAACTATGGCACTGTATCAAGGATAATGTGTTTTTTTTTTTTTAATAATCCCCGGTGGAAAATAATGAATCCTCCACCAGGGATTATTAAAAAAACAACACATTGTGTCGGGGGGCGTGGCTTAACATGTGACAGGGGCGGGGTCAAACTGCGGCGAGGGCGGGGTTAAATGTGCCCCCCTACTTTTGTCCCTGGCCCTCCAAAAATGAATCCTAGAGACGCCACTGCATGTAGATCACACTCACACAGAGCAGGGCAAACGGCAGTAACCCTGGGCTCCCCCTGTGTTCCATGTAGATCCCGCTCACACAGAGCAGGACAAACGGCAGTAACCCTGGGCTCCCCCTGTGTTCCATGTAGATCCCGCTCACAGAGAGCAAGACAAACGGCAGTAACCCTGGGCTCCCCCTGTGTTCCATGTAGATCCCGCTCACAGAGCAGGACAAACGGCAGTAACCCTGGGCTCCCCTGTGTTCCATGTAGATCCCGCTCACACAGAGCAGGACAAACGGCAGTAACCCTGGGCTCCCCCTGTGTTCCATGTAGATCCCGCTCACAGAGAGCAGGACAAACGGCAGTAACCCTGGGCTCCCCCTGTGTTCCATGTAGATCCCGCTCACAGAGCAGGACAAACGGCATTAACCCTGGGCTCCCCCTGTGTTCCATGTAGATCCCGCTCACAGAGCAGGACAAACGGCAGTAACCCTGGGCTCCCCCTGTGTTCCATGTAGATCCCACTCACAGAGAGCAGGACAAACGGCAGTAACCCTGGGCTCCCCTTGTGTTCCATGTAGATCCCGCTCACAGAGAGCAAGACAAACGGCAGTAACCCTGGGCTCCCCTGTGTTCCATGTAGATCCCGCTCACACAGAGCATGACAAACGGCATTAACCCTGGGCTCCCCCTGTGTTCCATGTAGATCCCGCTCACAGAGAGCAGGACAAACGGCAGTAACCCTGGGCTCCCCCTTGTGTTCCATGTAGATCCCGCTCACAGAGCAGGACAAACGGCAGTAACCCTGGGCTCCCCCTGTGTTCCATGTAGATCCCGCTCACACAGAGCAGGACAAACGGCAGTAACCCTGGGCTCCCCCTGTGTTCCATGTAGATCCCGCTCACAGAGCAGGACAAACGGCAGTAACCCTGGGCTCCCCCTGCGCTCCCAATGAAGTTGCTTCAGTTAATTCAGAAGCAGGCAGCAGAGAGAGGACACACATGTAGTGCTCTATTTCTTCTAATGCAGACTGCTCGATTTCCAGAAGTTCAGCTTAGGATGGGGCTGGTACTGGCTAAGCTGCTGTATGTCCTTTTAGAATATAGGAATCATGGAAATGAGGATGGCTTATGGTGCACAATGCTACAAAATATTTATTTATTATGTATTAAAGTTGTTTTGGTGCCCAGAGTATCCCTTTAAATGTGCTGGTTCCAGACTCTCCATCTCTTGAGTTGCCGGTCTTGCCAATTTGTTATAAGAGAAGAATGGGTTTCATTCCACAGAGTCACTTTTCAGTCATTTGAATCTCGTCGTGCAGCTGACTCCTGGAAAGTGGAGGAAGCAAATGGTTAATTGCTGTTCAAAACAAGATGAAATGGCTTACAGGAAGCTTCCAACACACAAAGCTCTTCATATGTTGGCACTGGAAATAATTTGGGAACAGCCCAATAGCAGTCAATCTGAGAGCCAGGGGCGCTTCATGATAATAATAAATGCCATCATCGCCCAGTTTGAATGGCAAATTTGTAGCAATCTCTGCGCATGTGTTAATTCTTTCTATATTGGAAGCAGCACCGGGGAGGACTCACCACAGGAGAAAATGTAAGCAAAAATTATTTTCAGGGGGAGAGGGGGGGCTCTGGCATGTAATGGGATAAGTGGGGTAGGAATAGACAACTTTCAGCACTCCAGATATTTTGGATTAGATCTCCCCTGATACTTTGCCAGTGTTATGGTTGTAAAAGCATCATGAGAGATGTAGTTCACAACATCTGGAGTGCCTAAGGTTGCCTAGCTATGGGTTAAAGGGACACTCCATGGGTGCAAACGGAAAATAGCTTTTTGCCATTGGACTGTTCCTTTAATGTGATTACGTTACGTCTTGGCTGAGGGTCACACCAAACAGGTTGCTGTCTGGTGGAAATGGGACTTCATAATCCAAAAGGGAAAATGGTGGATTTTTGGTCTGGGCAGTAAAATGCTGGATTTACAGTCACTGTAATTAGTTTTAGCAGATTCAGTCAATACCTTCTCTAGCAGTTAACGAGCACACAGACAATTCTAACGTGTGGGGAGAGATCTAATATCTGATGTTACATGTCTTCTGTTAGGGGAATCGCCACATGTGATGTCAAGGTGGAGACTGATGGTGCCTAATTATTTTCCTTCTTTTGGATCAACAGCAAAAACCATATGTGAGGAAGGCTGAACTTGATGTACGCAAGTCTCTTTTCAGCCTATATCCAAACTAGTCTTTGACACGATAAAAAGATATTTAATTTCAAGTTATGGATGACACTAAGCTCATTACACTGAAATCTCTTTAGAGCGGGTTCCCCTAGCACTGCATAATATGCTGGCGCTTAATTATAGCAATCCGGCTACAGCATACTGCAGTGGTTATGGTGTACGAGTTCCCACAGTGCCACTGGTCTGATCTCTTTTTGGAGATATTGCTACGGTGGGACATTCTAGCTCTGTTTGTTTTCTGATTCAGCGATATCTGTGAATTCTGCTAAGTGTCAGCTCTTCCAAGAGAGCGGGATGGAGCCAGGGATCTCCTGGCACCATAACCACTGCAGAACACCACAGAGTGCCCATTAACCCCTTCAGACCGGAGGGCGTACTATTACGCCCTATTATAGGCGGCTCTAAACGCTGCCGGGCGTAATAGTACGCCCTCCGGTCTTTCGGTACTTACCCGGTCGCCGGTGATCCCACGCCGGCGATCGCGGTGGGGGGGACTCCCAGGGAGGCCCCCCGGCACGTGTGTGTTTGTGTATATATATACAGGGAGTGCAGAATTATTAGGCAAGTTGTATTTTTGAGGATTAATTTTATTATTGAACAACAACCATGTTCTCAATGAACCCAAAAAACTCATTAATATCAAAGCTGAATATTTTTTGGAAGTAGTTTTTAGTTTGTTTTTAGTTATAGCTATGTTAGGGGGATATCTGTGTGTGCAGGTGACTATTACTGTGCATAATTATTAGGCAACTTAACAAAAAACATATATACCCATTTCAATTATTTATTATTACCAGTGAAACCAATATAACATCTCAACATTCACAAATATACATTTCTGACATTCAAAAACAAAACAAAAACAAATCAGTGACCAATATAGCCACCTTTCTTTGCAAGGACACTCAAAAGCCTGCCATCCATGGATTCTGTCAGTGTTTTGATCTGTTCACCATCAACATTGCGTGCAGCAGCAACCACAGCCTCCCAGACACTGTTCAGAGAGGTGTACTGTTTTCCCTCCTTGTAAATCTCACATTTGATGATGGACCACAGGTTCTCAATGGGGTTCAGATCAGGTGAACAAGGAGGCCATGTCATTAGATTTTCTTCTTTTATACCCTTTCTTGCCAGCCACGCTGTGGAGTACTTGGACGCGTGTGATGGAGCATTGTCCTGCATGAAAATCATGTTTTTCTTGAAGGATGCAGACTTCTTCCTGTACCACTGCTTGAAGAAGGTGTCTTCCAGGAACTGGCAGTAGGACTGGGAGTTGAGCTTGACTCCATCCTCAACCCGAAAAGGCCCCACAAGCTCATCTTTGATGATACCAGCCCAAACCAGTACTCCACCTCCACCTTGCTGGCGTCTGAGTCGGACTGGAGCTCTCTGCCCTTTACCAATCCAGCCACGGGCCCATCCATCTGGCCCATCAAGACTCACTCTCATTTCATCAGTCCATAAAACCTTAGAAAAATCAGTCTTGAGATATTTCTTGGCCCAGTCTTGACGTTTCAGCTTGTGTGTCTTGTTCAGTGGTGGTCGTCTTTCAGCCTTTCTTACCTTGGCCATGTCTCTGAGTATTGCACACCTTGTGCTTTTGGGCACTCCAGTGATGTTGCAGCTCTGAAATATGGCCAAACTGGTGGCAAGTGGCATCGTGGCAGCTGCACGCTTGACTTTTCTCAGTTCATGGGCAGTTATTTTGCGCCTTGGTTTTTCCACACGCTTCTTGCGACCCTGTTGACTATTTTGAATGAAACGCTTGATTGTTCGATGATCACGCTTCAGAAGCTTTGCAATTTTAAGAGTGCTGCATCCCTCTGCAAGATATCTCACTATTTTTGACTTTTCTGAGCCTGTCAAGTCCTTCTTTTGACCCATTTTGCCAAAGGAAAGGAAGTTGCCTAATAATTATGCACACCTGATATAGGGTGTTGATGTCATTAGACCACACCCCTTCTCATTACAGAGATGCACATCACCTAATATGCTTAATTGGTAGTAGGCTTTCGAGCCTATACAGCTTGGAGTAAGACAACATGCATAAAGAGGATGATGTGGTCAAAATACTCATTTGCCTAATAGTGTGTGTGTGTGAGTGTGAGTGTGAGTGTGAGTGTGAGTGTGTGTGTGTGTGTGTGTGTGTGTGTGTTAGTTACACTATTTATTTTTATTTTCAGCCAGCAGGGGGACCACCTGTCAGTACAGGCAGTCCCCCTGCTGGCTAAAAATAAAATATATACTTAGTATATATATATATATATGAATACGTAGACTGATACTGATTAAATATATATAATTATTGTTATTTATATATAATATAAAAATGTAAAATCAGTTGAAAAATAAAATTACTAAAATAATTAAAAAATATATAGATGTGTGTTATTTCGTTCTAACTGTATTGTGAAATTAATATATATATCAAAATACACGTAGAACGAAATAATATATATCTATATACATAAATATATACGTATATATCACTATATATATACCTATATATAAATAAAAATATTTTGAAAAAATTATATAGATATATACACATACGTGTGTGTGTGTGTATATATATATATATATATAATAATAATAATTCTACATATATATTTATGTAATATTTTTACATAATTAGGTATCTTAATTAATTACAATTAGCAGGACCTGCCTGACAACCCATGCCGAAAGTAAAGGGAATTTAATTTGCTAGCACTATATTTAACCCTATAACTTTCCGAGACACCATAAAACCTGTACATGGGGGTACTGTTCTACTCAGGAGACTTCGCTGAACACAAATATTAGTGTTTCAAAACAGTAAAATGTATTACAACGATGATATCGCCAGTAAAAGTGACGGTTTTTGCATTTTTCACGCACAAACAGCATTACACGGACAATATTATTGCTGTGATACTTTTTACTGTTTTGAAACACAAATATGTGTTCAGCGAAGTCTCCCGAGTACAACAGTACACCTCATGTACAGGTTTTATGGTGTTTTCAAAAGTTACAGCGTCAAATATAAGGCTTGCGTTTCATTTTTTTCACATTAAAATTTGCCAGATTGGTTACGTTGCCTTTGAGACCCTATGGTAGCCCAAGAATGAAAATTGCCCCTATGATGGCATACCATTTGCAATAGTAGACAACCCAAGGTATTGCAAACAGGGTATGTCCAGTCTTTTTTAGTAGCCACTTAGTCACAAACACTGGCCAAAATTGGCATTTTTTGCATTTTCACACACAAACAAATACTAACGCTAACTTTGGCCAGTGTTTGTGACCAAATGGCTACTAAAAAAGACTGGACATACCCCATTTGCAATACCTTGGGTTGTCTACTATTGCAAATGGTATGCCATTATGGGTGTAAATTTCATTCCCGGTCTACTATCAGGGCCGGACTGGGGATACAAAGCAGCCCTGGAAAAAAAAACAATTTGTGCCAGCCCCATAAGTCACTGCGCCATATATTGTCGCGTGTAATATGTAAGGCTATGTCTTGCCAGGACAGATGATTGAGTAATATTAATATATGAGTAATATTAAAATATATATATATATATATATATATATATATATATATATATATTGCTTTTTCTAATATAAAATATTGGTCCTTTCAGGGTAAAACGTTTAATTATACAGTAAGCATACTCACATGCAGACATAGGCAA